CATCTAAATGCTATTTCAGATGCAGATTCCAGAAATGTTTTCTCATGTTGGAATGAAAGACACTACCAGATGAAGTGCTTATTCTTACCCAAAAATACAAAATGGAAGAACGAGTTAAAACTGAACACAATCTTGCTACTCAAGCTGTTTATGAACATTTATTTATTTGCTTGTTTTCCATTTTGCATTTACTTGTACAATACTTAAGTATGTTTAAGATTAGAAAAATACTTTTCGTACTTAAGTACAATAAATATCACATACTTTAAGACTTTTACTCAAGTAATATTCTAAACGGTGACTTCAACTTCTACCAAAGTCATTTTCTGGTAAGATATCTGTACTTTTACTTGAGTATGGCTTTCAGGTACTTTATACACCACTGGTCATAAGACACTGATATTTGGTTACATTTCTGTTGTGACGTTGGGTGACCAAAATTTAATGTCAATTCAACTTCTAATGTCAATGTTAATTTGATGTCCAATGCAGACGTCAGCTGATGCTGATATTTGTTGCTTTTAGGTTGTGTAACCAAAATCCAACATTAAGTCAATGTCAAATTGGCATCAAATACTGATGCCTACCCAATTTTCATTCTCTACCAAAATGCAACGTCTGTCCGACTTCATGTCCAATGTCAACCTGACGTTATATTGACATCCTGTGCCTACTGGGATGATACAATTCCATTCAAAAGTTTGGGTTAAGTTAAGTTGAAAAAAAAAAAAAAAAAGTTTATTCAGCAACAGTGCATTAAATTGATCAAAAGTGATAGTAAGACAGTTATGATAAAAAAAACAACTTTATTAATAAAAAAATCCTAAAAAAAAGTATCACAGTTTCCACAAAATATTAAGCAGCAAAGACTACTGCAGCCTTGATATAACATAAGAGACGACTTTCAAAAACATGTAAACATCCTAATTATTCCAAACGTTTGGCTGCCAGTGTATCTCAATACTCCATTAAATTAAATGTTGTTATTCAGGTTGCTAGTTATAAATATTTTGACTTTACAGTAGCTAAAGTATCTCAGCCACACACATGCTGTATGGCCTTCTGCTCATGTCAGTCACCGTTTTTGACATTGCAATGTATTAAATAATGCAGCTTATGCAACTTGAATGCTGTCATACTGATGGATGCAATGCCTGTCTCTATGATACACTACAACTACATGCAGACGTGCCACCTCTGCAGCCGCAGTTTTACATATGCAGCACATCAACCACCACATTTGAAAACACTATTCCTAGTTTTTAGCTAAGCATTAGAGACTTGAATTCAGCTATGAAGTATGACATTTAAAAAAAAAACTTTTTTAATTTCATTTCATTTCTTTCCCTGAAGTCCAATTATGTGTTAGTAAAGGTTTTTCCATCAAAAACATTTTTGTTTTACATTACCATTTTTCACCTTCTCTCTAAAGATTGATGTCTTAAAAGTACAGTAGCAAACAATTTAGTTAAATTATGGAATTAAACAGATTGTTCTGCTACTCTGCCTCCCTTTAAGAATATGTTAACGTTGTTCAGAATGCTCACCAATCTCATCAAAGGCTGCATTTATTTGAATAAAAATACACAGAGTAAAACAACACTAATATTGCTGTTCAAAGTAAAGTTTAAAAGAATAGCATTTAGGCTGTTGGAAATAGAAATCTTATGTATCATTATAAATGTCTTTACTATCAATTTAGATTTTTAATCAATTTAATGCATCCTTGCTAAATAAAAATATTAATTAAAAAAATCTTAAATCATCTGGGTTTTGCCAAGCTACTGAATACTGATTTGCTTATATATAAATGTTGTGACATCAAAACCATGTATGACACATTTGTGCAACTAAGCATCCATGAATGGTTTGCGTGGAATGAAAAAATTAGCTTTGCATTCACAATATTCAAGTATGTTTACGATAACCAGATTTCAAGTGTGAAAAGCCCATAGGAGGATAAAAGGCAGGTGGAAAATTCTGTATGTGTGTTTGTGCCCAGTCTAACGACACTCAAATGTCCCATTTCCTCCCAAGCCATGGAAGAAGTATTTTATTTCCATTTCTCATTCTCACAGGGCCGCGTTATTCATCAGCTGGACCGGAGGCCATTTTGGAAGTCTTATTCGGGCTGACGTTGTGCCAGGTTGTGGAAGGTTACTACAGGGCTAATGTGAGCAGCTCTGGTAATGAGCTCTCTAGGGGCGCTGAGCTGTGCCCTCACAGGACCAAGAGCAGGGTGAATTATGGTATTGGATACAGAGTTACTGATGACTCCATTCGACAGACTGAGGATCAGACACACTAGGATGTTCATTAACCCCTGGCTTTATAGCATATTCACTGTGCGGTTCTGCTCTGCTAACGCGACCCTGACAGTACAGTGAGGTCACCGCTTGGCCAAACAACCAGCTAATAAAGTACTTACGTGGCTTAGCGATAAGAAAGATGAAGAGTCGGCAGTCATAAACGGCTGTGAATAAAGGCGATATTTAGTCATAGCCTGCCAGACGAGAGTGGGTTTTTCATATTTAAATATACAGAGAGATTATTAAGTGACACAGAATGATATTCGTACTAACAAAGAATGTGTGGAGTGCATCTAAAAGAGATGCTGACATAGCTTTTGATCAAACATTTGGCAGGGAGAGTGGCGAGGCAATAAAATAATTGTCCTTGTTTGCCATTGAGTGGACTCATTTGCGAGCAAGGCAGGCTTATATCATCACACTAGCCTGACTGAACAGGGAACTGAAGCTTAATGAATACATTACAATAAGAAGCATGTTCCTGTCTCTGATTCTCCGCATGAATTTTAAAAGGCAGGTGATGAGAGATCAACAGCTAAGAGATGGAGAAAAGATTCTCTTTCTTCTCTTGGAAAAACTGTACAAAGCAACTAAGAGAAAGTCTCTTGACTCATCTGAGAATAAAACAGTTGCAGATAAAACACTAGCAGCAATATAGACATTAAAGTCAACATAAAACAGCATTCTCAACCCATTTGACTTTGATGACGTGACATTTTCAAATAAAAAGGATTTTTATGAAGTTGAAAAAAAAAAATAGTAGGGCTTTATTTAATCCTTTGGGAATTGATTGGATTATGAAAAGTGGACATTCTGAAGCAGAACGTACCTGGACAAACTTGCAGTCGATTGTGAAGGACTACTTGACCAACCAAGGCCCACTAGAAAAACATGCTTGCGGTGACATTTATTGCTTCTTGCATGTTTTATTGACACTTTCACAGTGAAATGTTTAGAGAGTGGTGCTAAAATTGCGTTCAGTTTTACCCAAAACCGATCAACGCGAATCTGGCAATGTTTTACTATACTGGTTGCTGTATGTATCACGGCAGTTTGGAAATAAAGTGTCCGGTGAGTGGCACTACAAGACTAATGCTCCATCACGCTTGAAAATAACATACTACCTACACTAAACCTATAATGTTAACAAAAGCAAATATGAGATAAAACACATTTGCTGAAGCAAGTCTTTGAACACTTTGATAGTGTTTCACAGATGTGTTCCATCACAACTGAAATGCTGTACCAGGTGCGCTACTGAGCAAGTTTACCACATCAGAAAAGCCATACATATGGAGCTAATTATATAATGGGAACATCAGGTATTAGGTTACAAATCATGCATTATGGTAAAAGTGTTTTGAGGTCATAACACTGTGCAAGGAACTGCATGAAAATATGTGTTCTTAAACGAATAATCTGCACCTGTAATCATAATTTGTATGAACAAAAACGTTTTTTTTTTCTCCCAAAAAATGAGTCCCAACTCTGTCCCAGTGAGATTTGATTGGTACGATGAAGCTAAAGCTCAAAGTGCACCCTTGGACATCTCTTTGTAAAATGTCATAATTTGCTATTGTTGTGGTGAACTTTAATACATCAAATTATATTAAATACAACAGCAGCCTAAAACAAAGCTTAAACAGCTATTTGGTTATTAGTTAATATTTACCAGTTGGTTATCACTGACCAATAACCTGCCATAAGTGACACCTGCCCAAAAGGAAATTCATTTCATTGGGCACTG